TCTATCGTTGTTTGGTTAGTATCAGGTTGTGCCTCTACGTCCGTTCTAAGGAGGAAAAGGAATGGATTTTTATGGCGGGGGTCACGCAGCCAAAATATGCAGCAATGCCACATATGCTGATTGTGACCCCGCCCCCACAAGTCATGAGGAACCCTCCCAGAAGGAACTTATATTCCAACACACCTGGAGGGCACCAAAGCAAAGGTGAGATAGACCTTATTGTCAGACCCACAAAGCTAATCTGGAGCCATGGGCATGTGCTCGAGGCTCAGGAAGACCTCCTGCCAGAGTCCCACTTTCTCCCACTGACCCACAATTCCACAGAACTACATCATACATCCATTTTGTTTTCCCTTACACACACAGCACAGGGGTTCCCGACCTTTGGGGGCTAATGGACACATACACAAAGCTGAACATATTATGGTCATTCTGCAAATGGCGCCCTGCTACGATCTAATGACTAGAAAGCAAATGGTGAGGTTGTGCTGCATGTATTGATTTATTCCAAAGAACGCCTGACATAACACATCAACTCCTGAAACTTCTCGAGATGTTCTCAAACCAACACCTATCTTCCCTCTCTGCCTGCAACCTGAACAAGCCACTGTCAGTCAATGAAGGGATTGTGAAGCTGGACAGATGACGGACCCACTGATTGTAAGGTAATTCACAGGCAACCATTGGCTCCCACCATCTCTAAGGTTCAAGATAAGTTTCCCAACTGTGTAGGTACCTGCTCTCCTGGAGAACATGTTGACGGAGGCGTTGGGTGGTCCTATTAGTCCAGAGGGAACAGCCTGAGGAAATCCTGTGGGAGGAGGTGGAGGGGGTTTGCTCTAAAAGGGGAAAAAAACAGCCCTTGAAGTCCAAATCTCTTGACTGACACTTTCCCTTTCCTAACACAGTTCTCTGTTGGGCCTTGTTTATGTTTGGTGCTGGACTGCAACAACCCACGAGGCGGCTTTCGCAACAGCCTCTCAGGAATGGGCAGTTCTGCAGAGAGAACCTCAGAGACAAAGGAATGGAAAAAGCAAACAGCTAGAATACCAAAGAAGGTAGAAGACCATTCCTAGAGATGCAGCTGCTTCCCCACTCTTTGACAATGCTGGGGCGGGGGGAGCAAGAGCAAAAAGGGACTTGGAGAATGATGAGCACTATGCTCTTCTCTTCGGTGATCCATGATGGCCCAACAGCTTGAATGCTGATATTCCTCTCTGAAGCTGACACAACACTTACCTCCTCTTCAGGTTCATCTAAGTTGACCCACCGCTGTTTCTTTTCATCCCAAACGATCTGCAGATTGGCAAGAGAATGAAAGACACCACAGGCAAGTTAAGCCCCCCACTGCTTTGAAGACAAGCCACATCCAGCTAGCTAAATTTGTTATGTGTTTTTTCTATTTAAAGATATTTTTATTGTTAGAATAATGAAATATAAAAGAAAAAAATCTACATTAGATAGTAGAATAAAACAGAAATAAACTACTAAGCAGAAGTAAAAACATTATGGAAAACTTTCTACTGACACAATTCTCAAAATTCCCTTCCATTTGTTTCTCCAACCTCTGACCCCAACTTAGATATACTTTACACTGAAGATTACTGCTGTACCTATTTAAGTCCTTTCATCTATTATTTTTATTGCTCTCATAACCTTTTTCCTAGAAACCATATTGCAATGTCTAAATTTTCCTTGCTGTGTAATGTGTAGTATATAAGGGAGCAATTCTGGCTTAAATCTGGTTAGACTTTTTTCCTACTCCATATAAATTGGTTGACTGTTCTTTGCCAATCCTGAAAGGTTTTGTCTGAGGTTGGAATTGGTGCCATTTGAAATAAAAAGTTTGTAAAAATAAAAATGTGTCTTGTTTTTAAAGGTCCCAAGGTCAAATGCTACAAGATTTTATGAACAAATCCTGGATTGAATATTAAAAGGAAGAAAATAATGCCCAGGTATACTAGTGGGGGCTGAAGGACAGTTGTCTTACCGACTTGTTCTTATCATCAGGAAGATGAGCTTCGTTTTTGCTTTTCCCCATCAGCCACCCAAACCAGGTACCACCGCCCTGAAAACAAATAATTAACTTCACTTATTTCTTCCCATATCTGGTTGGTGCAAATGTAGAAACAGTCAAAGTGTTTCATTCATGCGGTGCTTACAATGCTTTATCCACAGGAAAGACAGCACGAATCTTATACTCTAGAGCAGGGGTTGGCAAACTATGTCCCATGGGACAAATCTGGTACCACCTGTTTGGTATGGCCCATGAGCTAAGAATGGGCAGGTGGTTGGAAGATTGCCAAGCCTGAGCCTCAGCTGAACTCCTGGGGCGACATCCTGGGAGACGACCTATTAGCAGCATCTTTGTTCTTTGGGTTGCAGACCTGCCAGCCATGCCCACGGAGGCAAAGGAGGGGCAGGATCTGGCCCTTTACTGAAAAGGTTGCCAATCCCTGATCTAAAGGACAAGAAAGGCTATATCCCCATGATTGCGCAAGAGAGTTTCAGCATGGCAGGGTTCTCCAGAAGCGAGCCCTTGGTGGCCACGAAGAGCAAGCCTGGCCACAATCCACCACGTTAATCTGCTTCAAGAGTCAATGGCCCTCAGCCATACTAGTCTCTGTGCTTTGGGTCAAACGTGGAACTACTAATGAGGCATGAAGCAAATCTTAGTTGGCAAGTGAATGAGAGGATGGGTTCATGAATCATGCTTAGCCATCTTTGCTGAACAGTAAATAAATAAACATTTACTTGTTTACGGTGGTGATAGAAAGCTGGTAAATGTTTCAGAACTATCCATAAACCTGCAGTACTGTGACCTATAATGGAGCTTCCTCTGAGTCCTATTAATTCTGGATAGAGAACACACTAAGCAGTGAAAAAAACAAGTTCAATAAAGACATGACACTGTACACTGGTTTGGGTAAAGTTTAACCAGATTTTTTAAAAAATCTATTAACAGAGAAGCTCTAAGCAGTGTAAGTCACAGCAGTGAAGGACTGCAGATACTTCTGAAGTCCAAGGTGGAACTTTCTCCCACCACTGTACATATCAAACGGCTAAGTCCACACCATACAGCAAGACAAAATGAAACAGCCTATAATATGGCTTAGTGCAACTTGCTGAGAGCCAGTATGATGTAGTTAAGGAGTTGGACTAGGACCAGGGAGGTCCAGGTTCAAATCCACCCTCAGGCATTGACTAAGGACCAGTCACTCCATCTTCGTCTCACCTCCCTCATAGGACTGTTGTAGAGGGAAAAACTGAAGGAGTGTTAGGTGCACTGCCTTAAGCTCCTGGAAGAAAAGCAGGATACATACATTTGGGACTCCAGCTAGTGGTAAGGAAGGGAGTGGATTCCTAAAATGTTTTTTGGGCGGTGGGGGCGGGGAAGAGGAGACACACAGAGGTAGTTTGAATTGCAGGTGGCCAAAAGTAACCAGTGTGCATCAGAAGGGACAGCTAACAAGGGTTATTTTTAGTGAAGCCCGTGTGAGGAGCAGCACTTTGGAAACAATCTTGACCCAACGAGGCAGCTGAGACTGGGAAGCCCACAGCTGGGAAGGAGATGCCAGCCAAAAGGGGAAAGGAGGTGGCTACCCAGGCCGGTTTGGTACCTTTCTATAGTGCGTGCAGTGTGAACAGTCTGCAATAATATTCTCCTTTAATACAATGTGTTTTTTCCCATTGGGGATTCCAGAGCAATTTCCGACTTTAAGTTTGAAGGAGGAAGAGTTAAGCTTGTGGGGGGAAGAAAGATGGAGGCATCAGGCAAGTTCAACCGAGGCATTTGCGCAGAGCTGGGAACAGAGAACTCTCTCCAGTAAGAGCAGAGGTATTTCTGCTGAGCCTTCACGTTTATGACTCACTTTTCGAGGTGCCAGATCCTTCTTGGCTTCTTTTGGGGTTTTCTTCCCTTCTGGGATTGAGGGTGGGGGCGGAGAAGGCTGCTGGGTGGCAGAATTTCGCCTCTCCCGGCCAACGGAATGCACAGAAGACTCCGAGGTGGTCCGAGACCGCTGCCCCAGGCCCTGTGATTACATGCAATTGAGTTAAGTTTTGACTTTAGGAAGTGACATCTTCAACTGATGCCAAGAGGGAGGGAGGGAGGGAGGGAGGGAGGGAGGGAGGGAGGGAGGGAGGGAGGGAGGAGGAAGGAA